GGTTAGGGTTCAGAGTTTCGGATTTAGGGTTTAGGGGGCATCCATCTCTAACTACCGAGACACCTTTTCCAGAGAGCCTCAGGGTCTAGCTTACCCTAAACCCTAAACCCTAAACCCTAAACCCTAAACCCTAAACCCAGCTTAGATGCGTCAGTCTCAGGTTCCTGAACCAGCAAGGATTGTAGTCCATGACCCCAAGTTCAGCTTTGGGGTATTAGGGTTTAGGGTTTAGGGTTTAGGGTTTAGGGTTTAGGGTTGGTTCACGTGCTGTTACAAGTGGGGTTATAAGTCCCGTAATATGGGTTATAACTCTATAGCTACCCTACTATAACTCCACATAACTACCCATGAACCACCACGAAAGCTGAACCCTAAACCCTAAACCCTGCCTTCCGCCGAGAAGAGCGCCAGGTCTGTGCCGTTAACGGGCGCTTGAACGGCGGAGCTATTCCTCAGATGCTCGCGAGGTTTCACTTTAGAGAAACCCCAAACAATGGACCTAGGGTTTCACTCTAATGTAGGGGCCTTAATAATTAGAATAGGGTTTTGGGCTCCTTTATACTATAATTCTAATAAGGAACCCTAAGGAATAATATTGGCAATTATTTAGGCTTCTATATGAAGTTGGTGCTGCGGGATCAGCGGACATGGGAAGCCACCAAAAGCGGGTTAGCAAATGGTCTTTCAGCATTCCCAAGTATCCCAGTAATGTAGGGGCCTTTATAAATAGAATGGGGCTTTGGGTATACTATACTACAATTATAACAAGGAACCCCCCAACATAATGTTGGCAATTATTAAGGTTGTTATAGTACATGTACAATGATCGCATGTCCTCTTTTGCAGGTTACATGCCACGACTGCCACCCCGCTGCACCCCCCCAAGCCTCGGCCCCGGCCCTGTTACAAACCAGAAGGTTTTGACCCGCACCCAAATCTCAAACCGTGCATAAATCCTAAACCCTAAGCCCTATAAATCCTGGCAAATTACCAAGCCGGCATCAAGTGCCGCCCGAGCGCCCACGCAAGGCGCCGCCCGAGGCCACTGCACCACGGAGTGCCACGCAAAGAAGCCTTAGACGAGGGGTTTAGGGTTTAGGGCTTATAGGGCAAATAATTGAAGAAAGGGCGTGTTGAACCTTCAAGGGTATCAATTTTGGTTCGACCTGTAGATTGGTCGGTTTTGGGACTTGACGTCTCCAGCAAATTCTCTCACAACATTCCTACACCCAAACCCCTAAGTAGGTTCTTTTGTTGTGCCGGAAATAACAGGGCCCGAAACATGATCACAACTAGAACCCTAAAATCTAAACCCTTAAACCCTTAAACCCTAAACCACACAACTAGCTTGAGCTTGGTAGCAAGGCTTGCCGGGCCATTCCTGTCATCGCTCTCTCCTGACATCGCTTCCGGGGCCGAGAATACTCTGGGCTGGGTCTTCTGCCGTGACGCTTCAGGCCGCTTGTTGAGGCCCCTACTTGGAGGGTCGGGGGACTTGGTAAATGGTTATTTTTATAGACTTATAAGTACTATAACCCCAATTTGGGTCCCTATTAGGGTACTTATAAATCTACTTATTACCTACTTACTAAGTCTCCCGACCCTCCAAGTATGTTCTTCCAAGGCTATGGAATTCAAGTAAATGGTTGGTTTCTATCGAAAGTCTTTCTGCAAGACTGTTCGATAGGCTTCGGGACATAGGCAGCTATGTCGTGAACTCACTACCTGCAGAAAGAATCGGTCACATGCTTCAAGATCTGCGATCTGTCTGGATCAGTAGGAACTTTGCCTGCAGACCCATGTAAAGGCTAGATGAAACATCCTGTCGCATCCAACCCTAAATCCTCAACCCCCACCCACACCATGCTCCTCGGACTCCTCGGTGCGCTTAGCGACTCTTGCACTATCTATGCTGCAAAATGCTGCGGCAGTTTAGGGTTTAGGGTTTAGGTCTTTCGCATGGACATGGTCCTACAATGTCCAACTCGGGCAACGCAACATCACATTACTACTTAGGTGTAGGGCCCTTATAAACCGCAAGTCCTAACCCTAAACCTCTAAACCCCCACCTCTACATGGGGGAAGCCCACAACCGCATCTCTGCCACACAAAACAAGCTCGACGGAAGGCACACGCCGAGACTCGCAAGATGTCTAGCTCTTGCATGACCGTACGAGGGGGTTGAGGGGAGCTCCAAACAACCCTCTACAAGGTGACGATAACGTTCCTATGCGAGTACAAGACGGCTACTACAACAATAACGGTACTTTACGATTATTGGAAGGGTACTGTAAGGCTAAAAGGGTATGCTGAGGCTACCAAAAAGGTACCATAGGTCAGCAGTTGAGTTCCGACACTACTAAATTTCAATGCTGACGGCTGATGTCAGGGGAGGCTATGCACAAGTTGTATCATTGGTCCCATTCCCGCAGCATCAAAATCGGGGCTTGCCAGGGAGCGGTCGTTGTTGTGAAACCTTCTAGCATCCCCCATCGCTAACAAGGTTGGCTCCCTAAACCCTCAACCCTGAACCCTAAACCCTCAACCCTCAACCCTAAACCCCGAACCCTAAACCCTAAACCCTCAACCATTCCAGCATGACCAAGTTGTCTGAGGCAGACCTGCGATTCAACAAGTGCCGCACGCCTCGCGCCTGTGTCAGAATCAAATTTCCTAAAGGTCCATGTACCCAGATAGTAACCAGTATATACTTTGGCCTTCAAGTAGTACAAAGTAGTCCCCATATAGGTACTTTGGAGCCAAAGTAGAAAGTATTTGGGCGCATGGACCCTTAGGGTTTAGAACTGGGAGGTTCCACCTCCAGCACAGTGTACTTGGGATCGCTTAGGATTTAGGGTTAGCTTCCCTCAAGACTGTTTCTCTCCGCACGATGTCCAGCCGAGGCTGACATGAAAAGTCGGTCTATCAGAGTCTATCATGCATAGAGCATTGATGGCATTGGGGCTTCTCCCAAACGAGTCTGAGTAAGGCTTCGACTTTCAAGCCAACATGCGTCTGAGGGCTTAGGCCTCGAGGTTTGGAGACCACCTGAAGATCCTAGGCGCAAATCCGAAAGGCCGCTCGTGGACAGAGAAGACCTGCATCCTTGGGAGGGTTCAGGATTTAGGGTTTTTGGGTTTAGGGTTTAGGTTTAGGGGTTCAGGGTTTAGGGGTTTAAGGTTCAGGATTTAGGGTTTAGGGGCATTTGTAGCCCAAACAAACGGAAACATAGAACTCCCCCTAAACCCTTTAACGCTACGCGCGAAACCCTGAATCGTTGGGCTTACCACTGCATCCCTGAACACCACGCCGTGAAGCCTTCGAGCTAAAAGGCCTCAACCCGGTAGGGCTAAGGTCGTTAAAGGGATCTATAAGTACTATAAGTTTTCTTGGGCTTCTTTAAAGGGATGCAGAAGAACCCCGAAAACCCAGCTATACCCCAACTCTAAAGCCTTACCTTAAACTACCAAACCCTACTTTTTTTGTAGGTCCCTATTAGAAACCCTAATATGGAATTTATAGGGAACCTACAAAAAAAGTAGGTTTTGGGTAGGTTAAGGTACTCTTTGTTGGGGAGAAGGCATCTGCCAGAGGCCTGACCGAGCACTCGGCCGAGCTGTATCCAATGCTCAGAGGTGGAGTCGGTGCAGTAGGGACGGTTTAGGGTTTAGGGTTTAGGGTTTAGGGAGTCGTAAGGCTTACCACTACTAAAACCACTACTAAAACTACTACTACTACTACTACTACTACTACTACTACTACTACTAGTACTAGTACTAGTACTAGTACTAGTACTGGTACTACTACTCCTGCTATTCTTGTTTTCCATGATTAATTGTTAGTAGTATTGTTATGCTTGATGTATTAACACATCTTGCTTTCTGCTGTTGTCGTCGGCTTTGTTGTTGCCATGACTATTCGTATGAGTATCATTTGTGTTAGTATTGTTGCTGTTGTTAGTATAGTATTGCTATTATTTCGAAGATTATTGCTATTGTCTTTGGTAGTATGTTCATATGATTTTATGATATATCATTATTGTAACTTTTATTTTTATTGTTATTATTCATATTATTGTTGTTGGTATCATTGTTATTGCTATCCTTACTGTCCCTATTATTGTTACGATTATGATAAGTAAAAGGGCCAGGGTTTAGGGTTTAAAGCTCTCGGTGATAGGGGAAGTCGTAGTCAGAATTGGGTTCCTGTTGCGGTGTGTCTTTCAAAGGGGCTGCAATAAGGGTTCTAAAAGGGCTTAGGGCTGACCTAGACGTCTCTCAGAGGAGCAACCATTGGGAATAGAGTTCCTTTCCAAATCCAACCAAAACCTACATGAACCTAGCTCCTGGCTATATTTTTGGCGGCCACATAGGTTGAATCTACCAGCACTGTATACAGTCAACTCCAAAGGGTCGAAAGATGGATTCGGGATGATTAGAGCTGGGTTTCCCGATATTTTGAGCACAGGGACAACTATGCTCCAACTAATTATTAGTTTCTAGTTTAGGGGGTTCTATAGGGCTGTATACTTATAAAGGTTCTAAAGATCTACCAAGCTACCTTCTTTGGATCTATGGTCTGTGGATGTTGACGGTGTAGGGATGTGTAGGCTTCATGATTCACAAGCTGAGGATTCATAGAATCATCTGGCTTCCACTGCTTAGGTCTTAGGGGCTTTTGAAGCTAGGTAGGGCGTTGAACTTGGCATGTAGAGCTTCGGCTTGTGGGATTTTGCGCAATAAGCCTTGAGAAGCGAAGACCATGTGGGTGCACACAAAGAAGATATGCCTTAACTCCTGAACTTGCTGGATTCCCTGACACTGAGGGAGAAATCTTGGTGTGGTGGCAAACCGGGAAGCAGTGTACATACCCATCTTGAAATCCAATCCATGGAGGCACGTCTTCGTGGACACCGCGAATTGAGAAGATATGGGTACCTTGCTTATGGATGCTTTATCAGAAAAGTCCGACTGTCAAGGGATGTCCCTCTAACCCGGCTTTCAGACATCGATGACGTTGTCATCCCTTCCAGGGCTTGTATCCAGGGCAGCGCCATCGAGACGCAGATCCTTCCGGGAGGCTCCATTAGGATCATTGGCTGGCGTTTAAGCCTAAGCATCGGGAGGGGAAGATTTGGGCTTTTGGGCCTAGGCTCAAAGATCAACCTGGGTTTACAGACGTCGGGCTTAAAATATCCAAGAGTTTGGGGATGGATAGGTAAACGACAACTAACAGTTAGAAGCGTTTAGAGATGACAACTAAACATTAAAGCCTCAATCGCAGAACGATTTCAAGCGGCTTTCGCTTCGGAAGATTTGCCCAAGTCTGGGTGCCAACAGCTGTGCCGGCCGGCATGCTACCTAACAACGACAACTGTGCCCTCATCCAAAACCCTAAACCGTAAGCCCTAAACCCTAAACCCTAAACCCAAAACCCACGGATCCTGGAAGTTCACACCTCCGTCGACAATGGTCGCTGAGCAAGAGACCGTGCCGGCTCCTGACACGACAGAATCTCTGCAACCAGAGAAACGTTGCAGCCGAATAGGGTTTAGGGTTTATATGGTTTAGGGTTTAGGGGAATCTCTGCAACCAGAGAATCGTTGCAGCCGAAACATGCCTGCTGAATTGCCACCGCCTCAAGCAGCAGGAGTCTTGCTCTTGAGCTGGAGCTTGAAGTCCGAGTTGTGGTGCGATGCATGTGAGGTTTATTTGCACGTTCACACAGGTACAAGGGCGTCAGGATCATGCCCGAGAAAGTAGGGGATCTGTCATCTGGTGACCCAAGTCCCCAGACTCTCGCCCAGCTACATTCCATTCAATCATCCTAAACCCTAAACCCTAAACCCTGAACCCTAAACCCTAAACCCAATCTCTCACAACCTGAACTTCCCCGCCACTCTCCTTAACACCAAAACCGCTCCTGCATCACCCTGCGCCTGAAACTGCAGTGCCACTTGGGTGCTCTGCTGGCCGTTGATGTTCATGGAGGAATAGGACTGGCTGTACACCTTACATGCAAACCCAGTTTGGGGTTTTAGGTCATAGGTTTAGCTCTAAAGCTTTACCCTGATAAGCCCTGAGGGTTCAAACCGAATCTTTACAAACCTGTCACCGGTTTGGGGCCACTCATTCGGTCTAAGCTCTGGACTGTAGTATCCTCATATATTGATGCTTCCCTTAAGTGTTCTTCCAAACATGCAAGACCCGAATGTCATACATAGAGGTCCTATACGCGGACCCCCAAACCCCAAACTTCAAACCCTACACCCTCAAGCCCAAGCCCTAAACCCCAAACCCCGAACCTTCAAACCCAAACCCTAAACCCCAAATCCGAACCCCTTAGACCGTATGAACCCTAAACCCTAAACCCAAACTTGTAACCCAAACCCTAATGCCCAAATCCGAACCCCTTAGACCCTATGAACTCCAGGGTCTATAGGGTTTACCTTTAAAAAAACCCAAAACCCACTTTTTTGTAGGTTCTTATTGTAACCCTAATATTGGATTTATAGGGACCCTACAAAAAAGTAGGTTTTGGGTTCTTAAGGTAGGGTTTATGGTTCAGGGGCTTCATGCCGAGGGCGCTGGTCCGCACTCCACGCGCGATCCCAAGCGGCCGCTCCGGGTGAGCAGCGTCTGTGCTTCAGACATGACCTGTTTAGGGTTTAGGGATAGGGTTTAGGGTTCAGGGTTTAGGGTCTAGGGTCTAGGGTTTAGGGTTTAGGGTTTAGGGTTTAGGGTTCAGGGTTTAAGGGTTTAGGGTTAAGGTAGGGGCCTTAATTAGTAATTCTTGGAATAAGGTTTGGGGGGTTCCTTAATATAAGTAGTAGTATTAAGGCCCCTATATTTAAGATCCAGGTCCAGGGTTTATTTGGGGTGCCTGATTCTTGTGGGTGGGTGGGCTATTTAATCGATGCAGGCTTTGATTATGACAAGTGTTCTGTCATTTTTTTAAGTGGCTGGGGTTTATTAAAGGTTAGGGGTTTAAGGTTCCAGAGGTTTTGGGCCAATGGAGACACAGCCTTTCAGATGTTCATCCGTGAAGCCATAATTACCCTCCACAGGGCGTCTTTAAAACGAAGGGGCAATCAGAACCGCAGGAAGACTGATAGAGAGATCGTTCATGCGACAGTCTCACATTCATAAGCGCAACAGCGGGGTGAAAGTATAAAACATAAGAAGAGACGGCTACGCGGAAGCTAGCAATGAAAGCCTTGGCGCCGCAAAACAAAGCACTACATTTTCTGCCCCCTAGAGGCTCATACCCTACCCATTTTTAGGGTACCTACCTTTCTATATTACAGGTCCTAACTAAGGAACTACGGTTGATGACATAAATCCTGCAATCATTACCCATAACTAGGAGTATACCATGATTTCCCATCGTTTAGGGTCCTTAAGGCCGTAATGCAGGATTTGTATCATCGGCAGTGGGTACCCTAAACCCTAAACCCTAAACCCCCAAAAAAGGGTAGGGTGTGAGCCTGGGGGTCAGCTGGTGCAGTGGCATCTCAGCGTTGGGGCCATTTCATGTCCGGGTTTAGTGTTTAGAGCCGTTTAGGGTTTAGGGTTTAGGGGTTTAGGGTTTAGGGTTTAGGGTTTAGGGTTAAGGGTTTAGGGGTTTAGGGTTTAGGGTTTAGGGATAGGAGTTTAGGGATTAGGGTTCAGGGATTAGGGTTACAGGGTTAAGGGTTAAGGGTTTATGGGTTTAGGGTTTAGGGGGCTTCGTATTTGGAGCTTCGGGGGTTGTCTATAATTCTTTAGAGGCACACAGGACTAAGTAGCTAGGGTTATAAATAAAGTCATAAATACTTGTAACCCGAATTAAGGTACTGATAACCTTACTTACTAAGTCCCGTCATCCTCCAGGTAACCCAAATTAGCACTATCCTTTTACTGGGACGGCAGTCGACTACCTAATACAGGTCAGTGGGCTGCTAACTCTAAACGCACCCCGAAATCCCAAAAACCTGAAACCACGTTCTAAGGATGCTTTGCCAAGCGGAGGATGCCAGTTGCAAGCAGAACTGGTGGCCTTCTGCATGTCCTCTTGGCTGCCCTTGAGGAGGTTTCCCAGCATTCCTTGTAACATCTGGGTGCGGGGGGGGGCAGGTAACTCCCAGGAGACTCGGGCTCCTGCAAAAAAACGCGAGACTACAGCGCTACGGCCTTGATTCTTCGGGCGCGCTGCTCCCCCTGCTCCACCCAAACACTGCAAGCTAGACCCCCGAGCCGCAGCCCGGACCACCATACCCCGAAGTCTGAAGATTTAGGCTTTTAGGGCTACAGGGTTTTAGGGTTTAGAGCTTCAGGGAATTAGGGTTTTAGGGTTTAGGGCTTCGGGGTTTTAGGGTTTTAGGGTTTTAGGGCTTTAGGCAAGGTGATTCAGAAGACGACTTTTGCCTTACGGTTCCTGATTATTACAGTACAGCACATCCCAGAAAAGTTGGAACATGGTGTTTAGGAGGATTAGTGCTAAAACCCCTCAAACTTTAACTTAACGGCATGGGGATAATCATGTTCCAACTTTCCTCCCTCTACTGTAATGGTACATTGACTGATGTACAATGTACCCAAAATGACTCTAGTACTATTCCAGACTGTACAACTGCATACACTGTTACAGCTGATGCATGGCATGATGAGTTACTATCATGTGTTCATGGGCTTCCAGCAGTCGCTAATGATTTCCAGTCTTGAACCTTCGGCTTTAAGCCCAACCCCTAAACTGGCAACCCAAATATCCAAATCCCCTAAACTTAAACTGACAGCAAGGGACGCTCTGTGAGGGTCCAGTTTTCCCACACAGTGGATTTTAAGAGGTTTAGGGATGTTTTCATTGTGTGTGTGTGTGTAGTAGGTTGGTACTCTTGTCCTGCTGTGCTTTATTTTAGGACATGTGCCAGTTTTGTTGGTCTTTTGACAGCAAACAAAGCGTGAACTTGCAGTTGAAACCCACGAAACCACCGTAAATATTACCCCCGGCCCTGAACTCTAAGCACCCGTCACGATAAAATCCAGTCTTCAACAGCTTTCAGGCCTTAAGGGTTGCAGAGTATACTCCAGTAGGAGAATACAGGGACTGCAAGGCGAAACAATTACTGAATAAAGTAGGGGGCTTTATAAGAACAGGGTTCAGGGCTCCTCTGCAGCAGAAAATCATGGGGAACCTCCCGGAAGGATACCCTAAACACTAAACCAGGCTTCTAGAAATACTCAGGCCCTGCTTTAATTTTGGTGTTTCCGACCATGCACACTCGACGGAGAATCCCAGAAAAGTGGAGCTGCTTCCACAGAGCCCCGGACTTGCACTGAAACTTCAACCAAGAGATGCCAAAACCCCCTTGATTCAAAGATATGCCTCAAATTATGCTAGGGACCATAACATAGTAGTAGGTATAAGATCATTAACTCTTGTAGTACCCTTTGTAAATACCCTTAAAAGACCCCTTTAAGGAACCCTTTACGTGAATATTCCTTCTGAACCCTCAACCCTAAACCCTAAACCCTAAACCCTAAACCCTAAACCATAAACCCTAAACCCTAAATCCGTACTTGAAGGGTTGTGGAGGCTCTGGGAACCAAGGGGCCAAACGCCGGCTTGATCAAAGCACCGAGTAGGCCACCCATTCCTCCCGAAAAGCTGCCAAGAGAAGAGTAGGGTTTAGGGTTTAGGGTTTAGGATTTAGGGTTTAGGATTTAGGGTTTAGGGTTTAGAATTTAGGATTTAGGGTTTATGGTTTAGGGCCCCCAAACCCTAAACCCTTAAACCCAGCCTAGAGGATCTACGAATCGGCTTTCGGTACTGCTTTGGGGATCCTGGATGACCCTAAAACCCTATCTAAGCCCTATAAACCTTAAAAGCCCTAGATAAACGCAGTGAACCCTAAAAGCCCTAAAAAACTACTCGGGTTTTGAGGTTTAGAGCTTCCACCCTCTCCAAGCACAAGACAACTTGGCCTTCTGACGGGGTCCGTTCACATTCAGACCACCGGAAAAGATGTTGTGATATTGTCGTTCTGTTGAGATGGGTTGGAGCTCCGATCTTCCGCCAAAGGGTCCATGTACCCAAATAGTATATACTTTGACCTTAAAGTAGTCCCTATATATGTACTTTGGGGCCTAAGTATATACTAGTTCTCTTAATTGGGGTCCCGTTTTAATTAGGTCCTAGTACGGCACCCTTATAAAAAGGATTCTAAACGGGGCCCTCATTTAGAGAATTATTCTCTTTCCTAAACCCTAAACCCTTTAGCCGCTTAAAGAGGGCGACATCGAGGCTCCTGGAAGCGCACTGCTCCCAACGATGGGTCCCGGCTCCTGCGCAGTGTTTCGCTTGAGACATTGTTTCGGGGTTTAGGGCTTAGGGTTGAAAGCTGGTGCTGTCATTTCCTTTCAGCCCCTGATGTCAAGAAGATCGAGTCAATTCATGCAGGTTTCTATAGAATAGGTTTTCAGGTCTAGCTTATCAAATGGGTCCAGCAGGCCAAGAGCCTTCTGCAACATCACTAAGAATAAGACCCTAATCCGACAGCCGAAGCGCACATCTATCGGCGAGGTCAAGATTTCCTGACAGGCCGACAGGCCAATTTTTGCTCCGATGTTCGCTGGCGAAACCGTGCCCTAGAACAACGAGCAGAACATGACCCCGTAAGTATCCACCCAAATGACCCAGAAGCTACTATCTATCTATCTGTCTATCTATCTATCTATCTATCTATCTATATATGCTCACCCCCCCCCGTTGACAGA